CAACCATGCCGCAATGGAACTTTGCTCATTCCTAAATCTCGCATGTCGGATGTAGAGATACTTATAATGAATGTGATCACCACAGTGTGTGTGCATATGTGTCGTGATTGGATACGTTAGAGTGAAAGTTGCAAATGGCTGAAGATATCCATTCAGCAGCTTTCACACATCCACTGCGACACACGTCGACCTGGAGCTGTGCCTGCGTACGCAAGCAACACTATGAACACGACTGTTCACGCGTTCCAGGAGAACCAGCTCCAAGCATTCAAGATACTCAGCAGTTAGTGACATCGAGGCAGCATTGATTTTGTCCGAAATGCAACGGCATCGTGACTAGGAGATCGACTAGGCATGTAGATTAAACGCGGCGCTCTGTGAAGCGAGGCCAAATAAATAAGAGCCACCAGCAATTTGATTCTCAAACGTTCCCTTGCATGTTTAGTTGCGGGTATTTGTTAGTTCGATTGAGAACTGCCTATACCTCGAGAGTGTCCTGCATTCCTCTTTTAAAGCACATCTTTTCAAATCCATCCTTTATGTACCTATTTTTTTCTAACCTTGATAAATAAAAAAATCATGGTTTGCATTGACGTTTTAACACAGAACTATGTCCGTTTTTGTTAGTAGGATTTAGAACTGCTTATACCTCGAGAGAGTCCTACATTCCCATTTAAAAACACGTCTTTCCAAATCCAACCTTTATCCAACTATTTTTTTAACCTTAATACATTTAAAAATCAGGGTTTGCATTGTCGTTTTATCACGGAACTATGTTTATTTTCGGCTCTTGCAATTAATGCTCACTTGGTGGGATCAATTCATGACGGCACTTCTTTACACATTTGAAAAGAATTTGTGCTTAATCAGTGTGTCGCGAAGTAATACATTATACCAGACCTGGACAACATGGTCTTTCTGCCTTTTGTGCAAATTTTGTCATAATTGATTCATAGCTTCCATTTGTCATTGCTTTCTACAACCCATTTCTAGGAACAGGTTTAATTCCTTGTAAATTCACAGAAACGCTTGTAAGGCCTGATCGCATGCCGACATCACTCGATTCATGCTAGTATGCATTTTACCTGTGACTTCTGATCGGACGCACAGGATACACTCAAGTTGTGCATGGCCTTGTGCTTGACCTTCTTGATAACGTTTATCAACTATATAATTTGATGCGTCTTCGGACATATAAAATTACCTTTGGAGCATGATAAGCATTTACCACTGTCTAGAATACGAGATGTCCACCTCTGTGTTTGCAGGACATGAATTTTGCATCTCGTGTTTATCGACATCACGCTAATAGATAATTCAGAAACGATAACAAGTTTGTGTTATATCCTTTAATATTCTGTATCAATTTGATTTAGTGGAATACTTTGACACTAGGTCGCGTGTAGCAAGAAAAACGTCTTGTTTGCTAATCGCCGCCATGGGAGCAGCTGCGCAAAAGCCAGTTGAACGTTGAACAACGGGTTAGAAGCGCCTCTAGCGCAAAACGCAGATATGAATGACAATGCTCACCTCCATTGTAGAAAGGACGTAGACTTCATCTGCAAGTTTCTGCCTCAGTTGCTCAAGGTTCACACGCATAAATTCAACGTATGCCTTTCCCACCTCATCAGTTGGCTTCTACAAGGCAGGTAAAGAAACCTGGCTTTCGTAATGCAGCGGATTGAATTTAGGTTGGAACATAGATGCATTTCATGAATCACGACTCCTTATTAATGAAGCATGTCTTTGAGAAGGAGACGAAACACTGGCTTACCGTTAGAGAAAGAACCGAGGAGAGCAATGTGTTGGAATCGTAGCGCGCAAGTTTCGCCAGTGTGGCCTCCAGAACCTGTCCCAGTTTGTCTTTTAGGATATACGCCATGCGTCGTTGGACCTTCTCCAAGTTTGCCTCCGTCTGATTCTGATATTCATGCTTGACAACAAAAGAAGTAAAGCCCAGTAGTTAGGCAAACGGAAACATCCACTTGTTGCTGTTAATACTTTCAGTCCACGTCGCTGTCGTGCAAACCCTCCACTACCAAACAACTCGCCTAGTTAACAGCCTGAACAACCAGAAGAGAGGCTAAATAGGCTAGACCGAATTCGACATTTTATTATTACCAGACCACCTAGGTTTCCTTTTATAAGTATGAGTGGGTAAATATCGACTGGTGACTTTATCCATAACCAAATACACCTGATCAACTCGTGATACGCTTCACTCCTGCTTGTTCGTCGACAATTTACTAAATTGTAGTGAAAACTATAAATAACTATATCCGGAACGACCCATCAGCAAAATATTTTCTTGCGCTTTTATTTATTTGTACTTGGAATTTTCTGAGGGTAGTCGATAAAGGCCAGTTGCTGCGACTTCGTCGGTATGTTTGTGGTCAGGATTTTCCGCACTTGTGGTCCGATTGTATTCTACGCACATGTCCAGTGCATCTTTTGCCTCATAGCTTACCATAGAGCCTTCAATTTCCGCCTTGTCAGGGCTTGTAACACTACATGCGTTGCAATAACCACCATAGCCTGCAGTTTCTGTTTGGATGGCTATATCTCCTTCTGACTAACAATGCACTAATAACCCGACGATGTACACTAAATTATATAGGCAACATTTAATAGCGTTTTCTCTAAAACAATTCGTCTTGTTGACCACCAGCATTTGCAATGGTGTCTGGAATGGGAGCGATAAAATGTCAGGTAGTCGTCTAACCATGTCTCCTCCTTGTGTTTCCTTGGTGCACAACTTCAAGATGTTGGCCTTCAGCGAGGCGACCGTATTGATCATGTTGCAACACTCGTTAGGCAAAATGAAGTCGGTCCCCCTTGACGATCGCTTGAGCCAGGCGTCGAAACACTCTAGGTTCCTACAAAGAAACGTTGTTGCATAGTGAGGCACATGCAGAGTCGAAAATCCGGTGGAGCACATCAAGTCTGCGTTAATTCAGTGCGGGTGGAAACTCCGGCTTAATCAATTTTTCCGCATCTGCCGTTCAAATGACGCCAAACAGCTAACTCTTAAGTGAACCTGACCTTTGACAACCATAGTGCAAAACATGCCGAATTCTGGTCGAATTTAGTCTCCTACCACAAAATCATTGTTCTACATTATACGGTGGAGTTGAGTAGCTCAAATCCTCAAGAAAGCAGTAAATGCTTACAATATTTCACTCTCTTTCATCGATCAAACTAGTGAAGTAAAATGTTGCCCTTTTTTAAATGCACTTACATCTTGTACTCTTGTCGGGATTGGAGCGTCAAAAAAGCTTTATTACAAATTGTTGGGGATCCACGATTCCCCAAGATTGGTTTCTGATTCTATTTACATTAATTTATTAACATTTGTTTTGTAACGCTTTTATTAAGTCAAGGTCAACGTTTGAGTCCTGGTATCAGCGTTACGAAGACCTGTTCCGAGTCGATCTCGCGTCCCAGGATGAGGCATGGAAAGTCAGACTCCTTACCAGCAAACTGGGCCCAGCCGAATTGAAGAGATACACAGACGCTATCCTCCCCAAATCCTCACCCGACTTTACTTTTGGAGAAACCTTTCAAAATCTCAAGAATAGGTTTGGAGAACGCACCTCCTTATTCAGTACCCGGTACCAATGCCTCAAACTCGCAATAGGAGAGTTTGACGACTTCCTTGATCATCTGGCAGTGGTCAATCGAGAGTGCGAGAAAAGTCAATACAAATCAATGACTGACGACCAGCTCAAAGCTCTCATTCTCATATGCAGCCTTCAAATCCCTAAATACAAGGATCTGCGAACGCGGCTGCTACACCTGATTGAACAAAACCCCTCCGCGACGCTGGACAATATCCGCGATGAATGCCTACACTGGAGAAGCGTGCTGCATAACTCCAGAATGGTCCAAGCTGGGGCCGCAGTGCTCCTGAAGTCAACAGGGTTCAAAGTTTCCAAAAACCATATCCCACTTCTGACACCAAAATTTGTTACGTTTGCCCGTAACAAAAGAGAAGACCACTCAAGTAACGGTACAAGATCCCTTGCTGAAAGCTCGAACCGACCTTCCCAGGCTAATACAATAACAAGATCAGAGCTCGAGTAGAGAGCTTTATTCACGTGAGCCACGTGCAGAGAAGAAGTGAAATCGAAAGTAATTTGAGAGCTATCTCAAGTCAAGGTTGACCTTGACTTGATGAAAGAGTAACGAAACAAATGTTAATAAATTAATGTAAATAGAATCAGAAACCAATCTTGGGGAATCGTGGATCCCCAACACACATGAATCAGGTGCTCAGATAATAATATAATTATCTGAGCAATATAATGGTGCTCAGATAATTTCAGCATCCAACTAATCAATGATTCTTTAAAGAACGAAATATATCATGCTGCTTAAAAAAGAAAACGTCACAAATACTACAAAATGCCCGGATACACTTTCGGTAATCGCCCAATGCAGAGTGTGGCTTTGAGTTAGGATTAAATTCGTACTGCTTCACTTGTTGACAATAGAATACTTGGTTACTGGGTGCGTAAGGACAAAAATGCATGATTCGTCAATTCTAAAGCAGTTAATATCATCGAAGTCATAATAAGCAACTGTTCGTCCTTGTTGACAATCCTGTATTTCGCCAACTCGGGAGACATTAAAATGCCCTAAGTATATCACTGATTATCTTGAATTTCTGAGCATGAGGGACCTCGAATTCCTGCTACTACGTCATCATCAACATAGGGACTGTCATAGGGCTTGATTAACTACTCATTGGAAGAAAACGTATTGACAACCGGTAATCAGTTTTTCTTCTGGCGCACCATGTCGTTATCGGTTAACTACAGATCAATGCGTGACAGGGTTTTGGAAGAAAGATTATTTCTAATTAAGATTTACAGAGTCAGGTTCATTGCACATCATTGCTTCGTATGATTGTCACAAAAGTTGTCAATTTACTCTTCTGAATTTTGCTCGACCGACTCCTATGCTCTACTTTAATTTCTAACTTAACAAACTTAGTTCGATGCGAAATTTTGGGTTGACGAGCAGTGTGCCAATTAATGAATACGAGTACTTAGCTGGAAGGTGACTAAGTCTTACCCTTCATTGGTACTCACAGTCAATGTGTCACATTGTTCTCGCGTGCCATTGTGAAAACGTCTACTCACACCACTGGCATGTATGCGAAAAGGGGTCGCGCCTGATACCAGCCGTGTCTATCTTGGTCTTGGACGTTACAGATTGTCAACTCTTAGTGGTGCAGAACAGAACCGAATTTCACCGACACGTACTATTTAAACAAAAGCATACTTGATTTATCTAAATATCAATGCATTTTGTACTCATTACGCCATTCAGCACGTGCGATTTTGTTCCAGGTTGTCAGGATGATCGAATTAGCCAAGAAAACCTCGAAGTACAATTTTTTACGTTTTTATACAATATGCATTGTTGGTGCCTACCTTCCAGCGGCTGCGTCTATCATATCAGCGGCCATCATTTTGAGTCGATTGTCGAGGTGTTCTGCAAAGACGACATCAGTCCAGTGGAGTTCTCGAATAAAAGTTTGCAGTGCCTCTAACTTCCAAATGAGTTCGTCTGAGGAAACCGGAATAGTCGCACCAGCGTTGTGCACGACACTGCCACTATTTGCGCAAACACCTCCAACTGGTAAGGCGGCATTCACAGCAGCAGACATTAGATTCGCGCTGCCTGCTGCACTGGCTGCCGCTGAGGCAATTGAACTTCCAACGCTGTCAAGCACAGAAGCTAGTCCACCTCCACCACCTCCCTTTTCCAATGTTACATCGGAATCGCCGTCGTAGCCCTCAATGTACGGCACGCCACGAATGCACTGTGTAATAGATGCTTCCATGAGGTCGACGTAACGGATTACCATTGGTGCAAAGATTTCACGAATTTGTTGGTGGAATTTGCCCTCCTTCAGTGTTTCTGCGAAATGGAAACCAATTGCATCAAGAATGAGGGGTTGTAGGATCATTAGACGAACGCTAACGCATAGGATACTTGGCTCAGATTACGGCTGTACACGAACCGATAGTGCTTGTATTTGCAATGCTGCACAACTGATATGAAACCTGCAATTGCTGCTAGGTTTCCTGTTGACTGCCCCAATTTTTTAACACTCATTAATTCATTGGTCAAGTAAGTCCAACTAACCCCTCGACCATCTGCAGACCTTTTCTGGCCAGTCTGCTGTTCAAGTCAACCGGTCGGACATTCTGCGCGCTTTTGTCGATTTATTGCAATCAGGCGTGTGCAATCGCCATGACCAATTGAGATCAAACCGCAATCGAAGAACACATAAAGCCCTCATTTACCTTCAGTAATGAGGTAGTCATTGAGTACTTGAAACAGTGGGAACGCGGCCCAGCAGTCCAGTGGAACCGTTTCCATGACGGTGACCATGTCGGCGGCAAACAATGACCAGAAGAGTTCCGCGTGCTCGGTTAAAAGGTCACTGAACCAGGCAAAAGACTGAAACACAAAACAACATTGAAGCAAGCACAGCAAGAACGTGTGCAGCAGTCGTCGACTCCACCTCACCACAATTACTCCTTGCGGTATGCGTGTTAGTACTAGCATCACGTCGTCGTGAGACGTACATACGCAAGTAACCCGGTCGCTGCCTTCGCTAACACACTACCCCCTTTTCACCGTGTTCCCGTCAGCTATGGGACCGTCCACTCACACCTGGTGTGCATGCGTCGCCCCCGTTTTACACGTCGCTCATCTGGCCGTTCATCTGACCTCCAACAATGTGATGTACAGATTCCACATTCAGTAATGACATCAGGGAAATTAACTAACCTCAGCGTGATGTTCTTCATTTTGACGCAGAACTTCAATGCAGAGTTCAGCGAGGTGGATAAGATCCGAAATTGACTTCTCGATGGCTAAATAGAGCAGAATACAACTTGCTCTGACTGCCTTTAGTCTCTTTTTTAATACCATAAGCATAGGGTTTATTTTAATGTTCTGCAAGTATGCTAAAGGTCTTTAAGTGATCGAGGCACTTGGAGTTTCAACAATAATCCATTGTGGGCACTTGCCAAACACGGATCAAGCTGGTATCGCAAAACTTGAGCAAACGGTACAGGCCAAATCGGATGGCTGCAGAGAACCAACTGGTAACCTGAGCAGATCCTGAGCGGCGACCTGGCACGGTCGACTCACTTACTTGTCACCTGGTTAAATGTCTCCAGAGCATTGGTTTAAAGCCGCGCCTGCAGACTGATTGCTGTTTGTGTCAAGCCACAGGTTGCTTAAGCAGAAGAGTTAAGTTTGATTGCAGCGATTATCTTAGGAGCTAGTAACATGTTTCTAGAAATTTTTTAATTTCACTACTCATTTCAAAACTAAATAGGGAAATGACAATGGAGGCGGCACAAATGGGCTGAATTAATGTTGATTTAACTTACTCGGTGGATCCCTCGAGGAGTCTTGGCCACCTTGAAAGGGAAACACAAGCACCCACTTAGGTTTGATACCTTCAGCCATGCAAATTTATCGAAAAATGCATGTCACCAACAAAAACACACATGCGAACCCACTTGTGCTTACAGACTGGGAGACAAAACCTAAACCAAACATCGTTCACGAATCCAACAATTCATGCAGTAAAAGGAAATTTCTTTAAAACTACTGACGGTGTGTGCAATTCATTACGGAAGCCTGATTTTAATGACTGCATGGCGTGACGTAGTAAACGAGTTTTTAATTTTTTTACGGAGTCTTTCGCTTCACACTGCACAACTGTAATTTGCAAGTGTACCTTCAGCTTAAGTCTATCTTGGGAGTTAGTGTAGTATTTGATTCGTTTATATTTTTTCTCTGAAACCTACCCACAGTGACAATTCTGTGCAGTTGAATAGGTTTAAGAGTATCAGTGAAACTTACTTTCGATAGATGCATATTCCGAAACTCGTGAGTAGTTTACCAGAGCGGCCTGTTGCAGGCAATTCCGAATGACTCCACGAAACTCTTCAGCCGATGCAGGTACGCCTGTGTCCTTCATTAGCACCTACAGATCACCATTAACATCGTTACACATGGCGATGTTTGTCTTATCAATTAACTACACATAATGTCGCAATCTAGAGCACTGGAACTACTTGCCATTTAAGATACCCAATAGTAGAAGCATGTAATGACGGATGGACCTGCACTGTTGCATTGATCTGTTACTGGACTCTGAATACTGAGCCGCGACCCAAATCAAATATTTTCGTTTCCAGGTTTTTCATGAATGAAATTTGGTTGGTAACAAGTCACTGTAACATGTCACTCAAGTTAGTCGTTACAGACACGCATCCATGGTGATAATAGAGTGTATTGTTTGGCGAATATCCCATAGAATTCTGAAAACAGTGAATGATGTAGCATCTTCCCAGTTCATGAATGGTCATAATGGATGAGCTAAAATTTTTAATTGACAGTAATGTTTTGGTGATAACTTTGACATGTTTTCTAGCACAGAAGTTGTCATATCCTTACTTTGTCTTGCTCAAGCAGACATGAGCATTCCACTATTCGTCTTTAATGCAACGCATAATTTGTCTTTTAAAATATCCCTGAATGATGTTAAAGGTAAATCTCTTCGCAGTCCTTTCACGTCATTTGCCTTAATATTTTGGTGAGCGGAAATTTCGAAGAAAAAATTAAATATATCTTTTTCGTGCGGTTCAACATCATAAACCATGCGAGACACACCGACTATCGGATGCTTGTCAGTGGTTGCACTTGAATAACAAACATGGTTTTCATCGATGAATACTGAAATTGGCTAGCTTGTGTGCTCTTCTCCAATTTTTTGACAACACCTCCCTAAATCCGAAAACATTCCCTCGGATATCACAGTTTTCAAGATTGGTGAGAGATTTGATGTAATACCAAATAGCAACGTGCAACACTCTTTATAATATAAAGATGTATTCACACAAAATTATTAATCTATTTGGCTCGCATTGTTCCGTTTTTCGTGAAAGGGCCCTTTAATAAACGGCACGGTGGATAAGGGCAACAAGCTAGTGCTTGGTTTTAGTATTTCAAGGCTGCGTTTCAATTCTTGATGTTTGCATATTGGATAATAAAACGGAAACGAACTACTATTTGAAAGCTGATTATGCACAGTGAAGCAAGCTACCGTGGTCGCGACTTTTGAAGGGCTTGGTGTCGGTGTAAACACTTGTAATGATTTACCAAAAAGTTTAAACGGTTACGCATTGAAAAACGTGATTGTCTTCTAGAACATTGGCAAAGATACGTGTGAAATGAAACACACCCAGAAACACTTGCCAACCAATGGAAAAACGACATTACTGTCAGAACAGAGAAGCTAAATTTACTTAACTTTACTAAAATCAATATCATAGGGTAAGAACCATTAATTCTGTTCCTAAAGACGTCTTTTCACGCCAACTATTTCTTGTCTCTTTATTATGTGATAGTAAAAGTTTCTGCCCGATTTCAAAGAAAAAATGCAACGCCTTTTATTGAAATACGCTAAATAATAATCCACTATGTACCTGCCATCTGGTCTCTAGATTATTTTACGTTCTGAGTACATACATTTTTGTAGTGACTGTGGTCTAGCGTTGTCACAGAGAATTATGATGTTTTTCAGATTCCTCAAATTTGAACACTCCTTGGATTTCAACTCTGAGTTGAGTTGTTCACAGTACTTAGGTCATGCTGGCTCACGCCGCAGATGGATACCTGACAGTTAGCAATATGCTGAGAGAAGAAGCACCAGCTCAGTCAAAGGTTCATGTTTCTTTCATCAATGAAAATCGAGGACCAACTTTTGTGATCACCTAACATGTATCCAAATCTTTTGTGCTTCTCTTTAGCAAAACACTTGACTTAAAGCCTAATGAAAAAATTCTGAGTTAATATGCATTCCACTGTTTTGTAGCTATGCAATGTTTTTGGGTTAAAACCTAACATTATGGAGGCATTACTTTTGTCAATAAATAAAGCTTCAAGTCAAGATTCCCATACTTTCTCAAGAAGCCCTAGAGTCTGCTTGAGGGCTCCTTCTGGCCGACCAAACGGAAAGTAATACCGAAATTCGGTAATCTGTTTTTCAAGGAGGGCGGATAGTCGAGCGCGGATGTCAGTGAACATTTCTCTCTCTTCAGCAAGCACCGTTTTAACTGTCCGGTCCGGCCTGTAAAAATGAAACACCGGTTATCTTGAATCATCCCCGATTTGATTAACGAAGAAGCGACGATTAGGTGATGCATACGTGTTTCCAAATATGTGACGGCAGCAAAAAGCATAAGAGTAATGAACCAGGGCGGGGTCGATCATCAGTCCATGCTCGGCTCTATCAAGAAGATCAGCAAGGTAACACAGGTGTCGATGACATCCCCTGACGCCATAACGCGAGCAGTACTCATCCAGGACAATGAGTTGGGAGGGCGAGAACCAACCCAGGGAAACAAATTGGTCTTTCATGCGAAACTCGAGGCAGCTGGACTGCAGCAAACGAAAGAGCTCAGCGTGCGATTTCCGCCAGGGCTCCATGCTCACAAACTTCTCCATACCATGCTTTCTTGCACGATCTACAACTATGGGTATAAATTGTGATTGCGCCAGCTCCTATCCTTGCAGTAATGCTTTAGCGTAACCGTGACCTGGGATGTTGGCCGTGGTATGTGCGAAATGAAGAACAGTACCGCTCAGCTGCTTAGAGGTTTTCAGTTCAGGTAAATAAAGTATTCCGTGATGTACGGTGACTACAATTATTGCTTACTGGTCAAACCTTTTACCATTTATCAAGCACCATAAATTGATTTTTTTTGTGTTTTACTTCGGTATTTGTTCAATATCCACCAATTGTTTTTTTTAAACATGCGGCATAAGATTTAAAAACAACCACTGATTAAACGTTAAAGCCCAAAGGTGATTTTATCGAAGTTTGAGATGACATCGATCCTTACCTCTTTTTCCTCCTTTATTATAGATCGTCCCTGCAACGTTTTTCCTATTAGAATTAATCGTGCTGGAAGTTGAAGAGGTAGCCACGGACGTGGTCAACTTTGTTGGCGGCGTGGGTTTGTGTGTCTGACCTGTAGCCCGATATATGGCCTGTACCCAGAGTTGTCGTTCATTTTCGTCCTCTGTCGCAAAGAACATGTTGTCCCCCTCCCTCACCAAGTTAAAAAAGAACGATCCACCCAACTGAACTAGATCTGAGGAAAGAAGCAAATTGGAATAGATGTGAACACAGAAGTTCATGGTTGATTACCATCAGACATTTGTTGAACTGATATATCCGCCACGCCAATGTGGTTCACCTGAAATCAGTATGTGGTAGTCTAATTACCCCACAGATTGTCTGAAGTGAAAGGGTTTGTCTAATCCGATGTAAAAGTTAAAATACCTTTTTTTGACATATTCGGCTGAAAAACATGGTTTCGAAATACGCTTTGGGGATACCTCGCTCAAGTGGCAATCATACCTTTATTTAGCGATCACACAAGTAACTCCAATCAGCAATCTGGTTACACTTTGTCTAAATTTTCACAAAAGCACAAATTTTGTTTAATGAAACCGCATATTTTATAAACTTGTAAAGTCAAACCATAAAAGTGTTCATGTAAAAATGCGCAGGACAAATTGTGCATGATTTTCGTCACAAATTGTAATCTCATGATTGCCATTATAACATGGGCGTATGCTTGCCATTAAGAGGAAGAAATAAAATCAACCATGCAAGCCGTGTGCGGACACATGACCTTTGGTTTAGCGCCTAAATTTGTCCCAACCAGGGAAGAGGACAGCATATTTGACCTGGCTCAGGTTTCTTAAAAATATCTCAGCACCAGCGTAGCCCAACTCAGCAGGTTGGAGTGAATCGTGTTGATTCACGTCCAATTACCCGGTTGTCGCACCTTCACACACATGTCCCCCTATTCATGGCGTGCCCGTCAGTCACTGGGATAGACTGCACATTCACACCCCTGTGGTCACCACCACCACCCCCATTATCTATGTGACCATTCAGACGTCTGTATTTTTGCTAATCCACTCAACTGTATTATTCAGAAAAACATAACCACGTTGAGCTGTCTAGTAAACGGTTGTGCCTCGTCCTCTCCGGTCTCCTTCATCTTCGCGGGCACTCACGGTAGCGTAGCCGGGCCTGATTCGACGCAATGGCCCCGGCGTGGTTTAAGCAAAGATGCCGGGGCCCACAACAGGCTTAATTGATTTTTCAAGCATTGCCATGCATTAAACGTTCGGAATATTCGTATTGCAAAGAGAATTATGGCAACGTATGCATGATTTTCAAAATCTTGATTATTGCTGCATCATTTTCAATGCGTGAGTGAATAATCTGTGCACGCCAAAATATCCAAATGTGGCGGTAATTCGGGAACCCATCCAAAAAGTAACAACAAAATAGTTAAAGTATTCAAAATGTAGATTGGACTTCAAAGATAGGATTTAAGACCAACTCAAAGAAAAGATTACTCCATGATGACTGACACCTGAGTTATTATATTTAACCGTCGTCCTCACAGTTTTACACGTTTACTTGGTTTAATTTAACACTACGTTACCGGGATTATGCACAATGCAGCAATATATCTCCAGCTTCTTAATTTGCGTGACATCGATGTCGACGGGTGCGTACTAATAATTAAATTATTATTCTTAGGGGAGATAACGGTGACTTGTTTAACCTTGTATCACAGACTGAGACAAACAGTGTACCTGCTTGATGGTCGCAGTAGTCCACTGTATATCCATCCAAGGACATAATTTCAAGGGGTTCAGACTTGCGCTCCTTGTAAGAGGCCATGATAAACGTGTACTGAGAGACCTGGAAGCATCGAAAGTAAGAATGTAGGCATTTAATTAAGCATAATACCTTCATTTGGAGGTAACACGTTAGTTTCAGAGTGCCATTTAAGTACTTTTGTCGAAGGGATTCAAAACCAGTAGAGCGTTAGCCGTTTACATACTTACTTCCATTTAAAATGTAAGGAAGTACCTGTATGCCGGTTGGTCTACAAATCGCTTCAGACGGCTAGAATAAGTTAATTTAAATAGAGTGTCAATCGTCATAAAACCCCATGAAAGTGTGCTAAAGAAGCAAAAGTGGTCCAAATTGACTCAGAAAGTTATTGTGATAAAAAAGGAGTAAAACTGAAACGTTACATGCGATTACAGCTTGGCTCAAAGTAGGTCAACTCAGGAATGAATGAGTGAAGTGTCTGGCTTCTTAATTTCTTAGGTCTATTCGGTGAAATGTTAGAATAACTTAAATGAAATCAGAATGGCACTGACTTTTATATCAACGCCATAGTTCTTCTTTAAGGCTGCTTCATTTAATTTCACCTAAATCTTGTAAATTCGTTATTGGGTGGTTTCTTCAGTGATCATTAGGATTACAAGCAACACCAAATTTGTTTGCATTCCAAAGATTTAGTAGCGCATTAAGATGCTGCAACTCAAATTTGCAGCATGACTTTGGCTGCTTGTCTGTTTGGAAAACAAGATTGGAATAATTCCACTCAGCTACACACAAGAGACTTCATCAGAATGATTATGATGTTTAATCGCCATTCACATCTCCAATTTTCTGACTTTTGTTAACCTGATTCAAAACCTTTTCAAATTTTGCGTTACCGTTTGAAAATGTTTTAATGAGAAAAAATACGTATATTCATTTTTAAACGGATGCAACCAAAGAGAAATCAAATAGAGTCGACAAATTAAAGAAGACATATGTGTCGTGGAACTGAAGATTTCAATCTGTAGTGATTACTCCATGTTTAACTTGTAGCATCTAAATCACAGACTAAACATTACAGCAAGTTGTTAACTGAGTAAAGCTGGAGGCATCCACTTCGATTAGGGCAGAAAACTAAACGGCTAATTCCGAGTTATAAGGGAGTTTGTTCCTGGCTTCACTTCAATACGACACTTTAATGAAATTTGCGAAGTTGTATATCAGTATATCCACATTGATTTCCCGACCAGTAATAGTATACGCAGTATTTTTATGTACTACTCAAAACAGACAGTATTCCCTTGTTATCAATTTTAAGTAATGGCTTTCAAGACAGGGATTTATTACTGTAGTGAATTTAATAACGAAAGGAAATTTCTTGCTGTGACGCAGAAGGGGGTGGATAACACAAAATTGTACAAACCAACCTGAATGAGGCAGATGTATCGTTTACGCCACTTCTTAAAGGCAGTGCGTCCAACGGCATAACAGTATCCACAATACTTCAGATTATTCGGCTTATCCATTCGAATGGTTAGTTGAATTTCAAGGCTGTCTGGACAGTTTCGCGACGTTTGCATCTTGTACCACTCTGGTACCCGACTGCCCATGCAAGTGGGATTGAGAACCACCTTAAACAAAGAGATAAATGCTATTTTAAGGCTGAAGAAGAAAGTTAAAAGTAGAATAATAAGTGTAATATTATCAGGGTTCATGCCGGCAGGACAGACGGGAAATCCATGATTCCCGGAAGTGCAGATATGACCTTTATGGATATTCTTCTCCTCGTGTCTTATAAATGTGCGGAAAATGTCATGGTTATGCTGAGAATCAAAAATCTTAAACAATCAAAATTATTCTTACCTAACCATTGTTCATATTTTCCTTTAAAGACATTTGTTACTATCGTTGCGCAGTTTATTACCTTTGTAGTCTTAACATAGTGGCCCAGAAACCAATAAATTTAAACGTAGAATGTAAAACTTTGTTTCAAAATAACACTTCCAGACAGCCTCATTTTATGGATTATAAAACATGAAATCTTCCTTGTGACACATGAACAGATAAGCCTTATAAATCTGACTTAAAAAGTTTACTAAATTTGAAAGAGGCGACACAACAGATGTTTGGCGAAGTCTGGATGAAGACGCACTAAATGGTCCGATGTACTGGAGTTGGGTGTTAATCTCTCTACTGTGGGCATGGAGGACTCGGAAACAATTTGAATTTTATTTCTATTGTATAACTGCACACACTGTAATTTCATAGAACGACAAAGCGAAGCAAGAAAAATCTCACTTATTCGGATGCTACTGACAAGGTGGGAATTTATTTGTGCCGTTGTTGCAAGCGCTCATTTAGTTTTAATACGATGGGTATGCTTGCGAATTTGTTTTAGAGGAATACAAAGGAGCACCAGTCATTAATAGAAAAGAGCCTACACAGCGTCACTTTCGAACACACGCATGAGTTACCTAGGAAAATCAATATTTTTGCGCATACTTGACTGTTCCATGACCCAGTTTAAATTGTTGTCGTTTTCAGTTACTGCATAACTAGTTGTACAATTTCCGTCAGTTAATAAACACAACACGTTTCATCACAAAGTTGTTCATTCTGTCTGTACTTTGGCGTATAACCCTGAAAATTGACTTGTGTCATCTATTTTAAACGAAACTCACGATATGTACTGATTGCCAATATTATTTTTACAAAGTAGTCCTCTATACAACCTGGTCATGAGTGGTTGGCTGTATTGCAATTTCTGTCCAAAATAAAACAATAAACTGAGTGCTTACCCGACCCAGTTCCTTCCCAGATTCCAGACTCAGGAGACCAGAGGCTTCTGCATAGAGTTTAACTTTGATTTGTGGAAGCGGTTGCGCAATAGTGAAGTCACCCTGAGTGCCCCAGCTTACGTAGAAAAAAATATCAATTAGTGATGTGGAAACTGTACCCTAGACATGCAAATTGGCAAGCGCCTTTTGCGAGAAGAGACATACTTGAGACGATAAAATTCCTAGCACACAAAAAGTGAGCAGTTTTCTTACAACCCGCAATGTTATTTAGTTTTGTTCTTATACCAAGTTAGCCATGAGAATTAGTAAAGGCAGTAGATTTTAGAAGCTAATGCCTACCAGAAGTAGCTTCACTTAATAGAGGCAAAGTTGAAAATGTTCACTCCGTTTCATTATCACGAGACACACAGAGCAACTATTTAAGTAGTTCATTTATCGATGAGATAACTAGGTGATCTAATAAAGGGGACCTAGGGGATGCCTCATTGGCCGAACTGTTACTTTGAACTGTCCAAAAACGTGGTCCAAAGTTAGGGGACAAAAGTGGTTAGCAAAAAGCTTAAATCCAAAAATCGAAAGGCGTATTTCAAAAAAATCTCCATCTATAAAAGTGGGGCCCTGATATTTTGGGAGACGAAACAGTACTACTGTCGGACCAACTCAAAAAGTGATTAGGTAACCTCTACAAGAATTTTGTATGCTGACTTTGAATACCAAAAACGAGGCTTGATTTGATAGCTTTGTTGTTGCACAAAGTGCCATTACCTTCCTGCTACTTTCAATGGTGCAGTTGAATGTGAAAGGAAACAGCTAAGTGCAGTTTGCACTTGGAAAATTAGTTAAAACCCAAAACTCACCAGGCAAATCATTTACATAAATTTAAGCATCATATTTCGATTTTTTATGACTTATTGTGCATTTTTTTCAATAAGAGTGAATCTGTTTTTAACTGTACTGTGTGGACTTGGGACAATTGTAAAATAATACTAAAAACAAGAACCTGACAGGAAGTTTCTATCAAAAATACTTGCGTTTACAAGGCGATACGCTGTGAATATTACTGAATTATGTAACGTTACTAACGTGTCCCAAAGCTAGGAAGGCATTTTTATAGTTCGTTGGCTTTTTATTGCACCGTCGAGAATAAAAAATTTAAAATAGTTTCATTCTCGAGGTAGCGGTAAAAGTGCCCTTTCAAAAATAATGGGTTTCAAAACTTTATCATGAATTTAATGCAAACGCAAGCATTGAATTCAAAATAGTGGGCAATTAAAGGATCGAAAGTGGATGGCAGATTAATTGGTGTAAAAGAGTCGAATGTGTTAATAGTAGATGGTGTTTATATCTACGATCGATTTTCAAAATACTGCCAGCCCATTTCTCTTATTTTGATAGATGGTTTGCACTTGCTTAGTGTTCTGGTATGAAGAAATTGCAGCTTATTTCTAGATAAATGTAAGAATAGAAGCAAACAAGAACTGAAGGGAATGCATTACGAACAGCTGTACAATCTGGCCCAGATTTTGGCAAATAATGTACATGTTATTTGTGTGGTAAACGTGCTTATGCTGTGTGTTTTACAAAAAAATTAAGTATATGGTAATTAGATGATACAAACACCCTAGAATAAATTTTCCTATTAGTTTGCGGCAATTTATAACAAAATTGTCTGAGGCCTAATTGTATGTAATGTCATATAAACAAAAACAAAGAGATAATATTAAAAAAACAGTGTTGTTTAAAGAAAGAAACTGTATATATCGAGAAAACAAGTTTATTTTCAGCTCAAGCATGAAAAATTGCGTTTAATCTTTCGGTAGGATACTTGTTTTGCAGACCGAAAATAAAGTTCCATGAAATTGACGAATGACATCTAAGCATAACGAGTTGGCACTTCATCGTCCAGGCAATTATAGTTTTGATACGTGGAATGTCTAACACCAGTGTTTCAATTAACTGGTGATTGAAGATGGAAACCAATCGAGTAGGTTAATTTTTCCTACTAACAAGAGCTGTTTACTTGGGACTACAGTAAAATTTCAAGTGTGATGATCATTCTAACTAGGAGTGGCAAAGTACCACTTAGCAAAAGCTGCCAATTTACAGTTAATTAAGGTGATAGACATGCTAATTGTCTGGCTGCACCACATACAAAAATTGCTTTAATTCTAGCCTTATATTATAGCTCGGAAAATCGACTGCAATCATATATCAAGTTATGCAATTTCTGAAAATGAAGCAGAAAAATTTTGGTTATTTGACGGTTATCAGGGCACAGCGCTGGGAAAATAATCCCCAAAATCCCATTTTCTCAAGTGCGAATGTGGTCCTGAGACTTCGACATCCTACTTACCAAGTTAATAATAATTAACGCAACCAAATGAGGATTTAACAACAAAAGCAAATATTAAGCCGTCTGCATGAATATTTACGCTACCAAAAATCTCAACAAAATCACAAAAATCTCAACAAAATAATGTTGAGATTTTTGTAACATCAACAGCACGAAATATGGATATTGCAAAATATCAGTAATTCAAATTTCTGGGAAAAAGGTGACTGCATCAAATCTGAACAAAATCTCGTTTTTTGCGACAACCCATGATCATGCGTTGATAAAACTTGGAAAAATCTGTGTAACCAGATATGACCTGAAGGAAATTAATCAGCTGGACACCAAAATAAGCGTATTTGGCGAAAAAGCAATTTTCACGAATTAGGGAGGCAAAAATCCTGTTATTTTCTAATAGTTCATTTTTCCCATAAATAATTTTTTTCGGAAAATTTAAAGCAGGGAAAACTTTAATTTCAGGATTTTGGAGACAGAAATTTATGCAAGATGCCTCCTCACCGTACCTTGAATCTGCAGCACTGTTAACGTAATAGGCAAAATTTGAAATTTTTTCATTAATGGTTTAATAGTTCACTCATTATAAGTTTATACTGTTCCTCAAATTACTATCAACTGAACAGAGGGAATAAGCTCTTCCTTAAATAAAATGGCTTTTAAATGAAGGGTTAGTATTGACAGCAAATTTATCTTTTCTCAAAAAACAAATGCCGTAACCCTCCTAGTTGTTTAAATCACCGTGTCGTCATAACTACAGGACAACATGCTACAGTGCAGTTGACCTTTGACATTCAAGAATGTTTTCTATTTACTCAGAAACTTCAAAATCAGCCCTGTATATCAACCAGGAAATATGTGTCAAAGCGTACCATCGCTTCCTTCAGATTGCAGATAGTCCACAAAATGTATGCGTTTTGAGTTCTGATGAAAAGATCGCATGAATAAAAGGATAAACGTATCTGCTGAAGCTTTTGGACCAAAATATAAGACATTTTAGTTGGGTTCAGTGCTACCAGACGGGTTTCAGTACATACATACTGGCACAGAATCACCCAGGTTTAAGTCAATATCATGAAATTGCCAGGAGGCTATGTCTAACAAATAGCTTCGTTGAGCTTTCATGTGAACGCTTTCCACTCGTCTCAGAATTAACCCACCGCGGTGTATTTTATTCAGAATTTTGAAACTGTCACGCACTGTTGATCGCAGCAGAGTTTATTAATATTTGTCGGAAGACTCAACGACTACTTTAAACTAGAAATATATTGCTTTCAACAGTAAACCTAAGCAAAAGATTGTGGCTTAATGTAACTTCTACCCAGTAAAATATTTATTATCTGACTTAGATAGTTTGGGGTCCACTTGTCGGACTATTGTCCTACTGAATACGCTCATGAGAGTTCACAAAGGCCAAAGAATCGATGGCTTACCGGGCTTTGCCAGCTTCTGCAAGATCGGTCTGCAACCGATCGCCTCCCTCCACTTCCATTGTGCAGTAGACCATCTTGTTAGCTGGGAGGTGTTTCAGATTTTTCACTTGCATCACAACAATCTGAAATGTTAAAAAAAGGACCCAAAAACAAGGAAATTTTCCCAACGACTACCTTTGAATGGCCAGTGCTCTTTCATTCAGCAAAACTTTCTGTGTTACTTAGTTAGAAATTTTATGTATTCATTCGGCGTGTTAATTTCACCACCTGATGTGCAATAATTCAAATTTTAACGTGCACGGATTGCCCACTTCACACAGCAGGCAATGTTAAGGCAGATCTAGAAAATTTATTGAGCGTGGACGGACAAAAGGGTTTTGTGTGAATATTTAAAACACCTCATCAAAACAGATTTTACACGACTATGCGACTAGGCCTATACGATAATTAAATTATTAATTTGTCAATCAAAATGCACACCATCAGAAAGGTAAAATCCTTAAGGCCTACTTATTAGTGAAACTGAACTGAGCTAAGAATGCATTTTGGATTTGGGTTGCATTGCTTACCATTGACTTTTTATAAAATGGTTACTTCTTTTGGTATTTTTGAAAAGGTAGAACATGCTTTGTTAATATCGTTATTGCGCTTTTATAAAAAAACGCAGTTTGGGAATTCAATCTTGTCTGGTATGGTGCGAAATAAAAAAACTAACTAGACAAAGACCGAACCCTAATCTCAACTAGAAGGGATGAACAGTGGCAGGAATTTATCAATAGCGCCCTAGTTCCACTAGCGGTAACGATGAACGTTAAGCAGCCGCAACTACAATTCCCTAACTTTTGTAAACAGATTCCTTCCTGAGGTTTTGTAGAAGCCGTAAAACAAAGAAGAATTGTGATGATGAGACTAGGGGAATACTAAGTACGATCTGCTCATGCAAGTATTTCTACCCAAAGCTAGAAGAATATGGGACGGGATCGCTGGCTTACGATACTTCAATCTTTTTAAAACACTCATTAGGTGTTTTTCGAGGACTCGCGTGCGTCTTGGTTTCCAGGTTTAAACAAGTCTTTGATCTGATTTCAACTTTACACTAATTCCCACGAGATGTTCTCAACTGAACAATTACATAAGATGAGGGTAAATAATCCAAAAAGCAGAAGCTTACGTCTTTGTACCACTCTTGGGTGTTGGCTTCCCCATATTAGGAATTTTAAACCCTATTTTGTGGCATTATGCTCGGATAGAATAATTAATCTAACTCCGTTTGGAATGAGGAAGACACTATAAACCTGTTTGGCTGTCAACATTCTCCACGCAAACTTAATCAACACCAAATATTTGTGACTTCTACTCACTCAGCCCTCTCCACATCCTTACAGCCCTACTGTCAGGCCACATCATTGCACTAACAACCCATAGATCTCAGGTTGCCCGGATATATATAAGTGGACGCATTTGAAAATACACTTGACGTCCGCTTGGACCCCGACTTGTGCTTGGAGCTTTGGCCTTCGAAGCCTTTGACGTGCCAATTAAGGGTTCAGCTATGTACGCTTGGGAATTTACATCTACATTTAATGTAAAACGTAACAAAACGTGAATTACACAAGCCGAATTCATTAATTTCTAAATATTTATCAGTTAGCATAATTTAAATGCACCCACCAAAATTTTTTAACACTTTTGGGGTGGGGAGGATTTACACATGATTATATTCCCAAGTTTGAGCCAGAAGCATTTAAGCGAGGCTTTTCGGAAATGTTAATTTTTTTAAAAAAGTCAATATTAATATACTTAGCACTAATTAGTAGTGTCGAAAAACGTCGGTCGAGAACCACAAAATGACCACGGAGAAAGGATTCACGACGTGAAGGACAAACACACGATCCTATAATAAGGGCAGATAGACTATTATTTCAAAGCCCAAGCATATGGAGGACTGTGATTGGTCAGCCAAAAAACCCTTCATCTCTTCAGAATTAAAATGAAGGTGGCTGCAATATCACGAACCAGCTGTTCAGAGTGTGAGAATTGTAGACAGAGTGTTGGGTTACGATGCACACTACGCGATGTTTTCCCAGGCTATAAGCTGTCACTTTGAAATCTCGAGAAGACCCTAGATAACCTTACAAATTCACCTTGTTCAGGTTGACACCCACCACACAAGATCCAGTTTTTTATTAATCTATTTATGGCGCTATATTCTGCGTTGATTGGGAAGAGGATAAGTGCCAGATTTTAATCCATGTTCAACATGGAGCAAACCATGTGCAACATTTTAAAACAAAGCGGTTAGTTTTTTTTTCAAACAGAAAATCATGACTCTCTTGTCCTTTTTGTTTAAATAAGTGTGTGGGCCTGAGCGACAGCCAAAGATTGATTTCGCACCGTTGGCCAAAAGATATCCCGAAGTAAGCAATTTATTATCCTAGCTATGGTTTAGGAAAAAAATGTGGCCATTCATTCAAACATATTTAAAGCACTTTGGTAAAAAAAATCGAGCATTTCAACACCAGGTTTCAATAGCGATCATTTAAGTTCCCAGATTTGAGCGTAAAGCAGAATTTTTTACCCATAATGTCGTGTAGCAATGTCAATGCCACCGATGCTCGTGTATATCAGCAAAGAGTCAATCAGAACCATTGGCTAATGGGCCTGTGAGTTCTCTATAGGAGGCGTTCATGGCAGTATCAGCGACGCTCAGTCACTGTTTCATTTCCCAAGCACATTAAAGATTTATGCAAGTTTGAAAGTACAACAAAGAGGCACTTTAATTTAACTTTCCAGATAGCATTCTTCTGTTTCAAAATAGAGGCTTTTCAAGGTAAAAGGGCAAATCAAATCTGAATAAAGCTGCTTGAGGTAGTTGTAACAGGAATAAACAATTCGTTCAAATTTACTAAAAAATCCTATAAACCATCCAGTTTCTATTCGCTGCCATTTTTATGAGCTAATGGGAAAATGACTAGACAAGAATAAATGTTCATAAGCAAATGTTAACCCATGTCAGAAATGTTTTAAACAGATCAATACAACATCATGTTTATTTAGATATTGTAAGCATTTCGTTATGTGAGGCGCCGTTGTGCCCGGCAATGCAGTTATCCAATCCCTGTCATGGAATATTAGACAGTTCAGGAATTTTCAGCTTATTCATTCATTTTCTCCAACGTCCGTCCATCTTGCATTAACCAAAATATGCATAAAACTCCAATTCTTGGGTTAATCATAAACAACTGAGCACCCACTACAATAATAATGCCAAAAAGCATTAATCTTTACCTCAAGCACAAAGTTTAGCTGCGTGTCCAACTTGCTGAGATTGAGTTCAGGATTCTCCTCCGAACTGTGATCACGTAGAGTTGAGCTGAAGCTCTGATTTCGTCCGTACTTCTTGAACTTCTGAAAACTCCCGGCCCCCTTGGTGACGGGAACAGCTTCAAGTCGAATCATCAGCTCATTCACTCTGGTGCGCAATTCTTCGATGTACAGGCTGTCCATTGATTTGACCACTAGTTTGGGAATGTTCCGATTCTGAAAATAAGGGAAGAGACATTGATTGGAATTGGACAAATGCTGGTGTCTGGATAGTTGCAGCCCGAATCAAATAAATCCGTCTCCAGTACGAAATGAAAAGCCCATGTGTAGTTGACTGTCAGCTAACACGCTGGATTGCAGGATGTTTACTGGGCCACTGGTGTCAATGCCTAACCCCTCATTTTCACTGCTTGCTGTTGTCAGCGGCTTGATAAACACACTCTCACATCCTCATACAGAGGCAAACTTGACTGGCCTAACGCTAACAAACGATTGCCTGTCTTGCCTCTGTTCTGATTATTACGACCTGACCAAGGGGGATTTAAGGTAGAGCAGGCCAACACCACAACTAGCAGTTGTCAAATTATGGGGCTCAGTTGTGTTGACAACTGAGTGCTGTTACGACTGCAACGGCTTTGTCACCGAGATCCCCTCGATGTTAAAGATCTTAGTCCGCTACTTAAATCAACTGATGAGTTTTGAGTTATTTAAAGGCATATGTTGTGGGAATGCCAATCAATCTGACTTCTGCGAAGTGAATCCTCTTTGACTTGTAGCGCCGTTATCGCGCCGGAGTCACCAAATGTAGTGGCTAACTTAGCACTATCTTACAACCCTCTAGTTAACAGGCCGTAACATCCCGAGAAGAGAGGCAAGACTGACGACAGTGGACACGACCGCTTATTAGAGTTAAACCAGTCAACCGTCTTTGTGTGTGTATGAGTACGCGGTGTGACTGGCGACGGCTAACGGGAGCCAATGAAAAAGGGGTGACTCATGGTACAATCGGGCCAGCAAACAAGCCTCACTCACACGAGGTGGCTGTCTGTCCGCTACAGACTGTCGGCACTACTTTTTACAAAACGAAATTAGCGCTAGCAACGTTCTAAATATTAAATACTATGTTCTTTGCTAAAACCCGATTACCAAGTTTTGCGTTAGCACTGTTGCATGTTAACTGAAATCCCCGGCAAGAAACAACGAGTGTTCACTCAAACCCCGAGTTGTCTTACATTAATCTAGCAGGCACGGTTGGTCAGGATTTTCACCATGGAGATCTCTTTTTACCGCCATAACTAACTCATAATCCATCTGCATATCATGGTGGACTAGCTACACGTTTTGTGCAATTTCTCCTGATTCTGAAGCACCGTCCCATGACATCCAGTCACAGCCCTTTGGGTTGTCAGGTTGCATTTGAGGTGGAGGGTCTCTCAGTATTTTCTCATGCTGCTCAATGTGATCCTACCACAGAGTTCGCATAAACAACAGCTTCATCGTGTATACCTTGAGTTTGAATGGACCTCGTCATCAAAAATGTCAAAACTGAGAGGATATCGCACACATCACAATTTCAGGCCTACGATTCGACCAATTTAGTGAAATAAGCATCAGGCGCCCTTAATGACCCAAATGCAGGATCTGAAGACAATAATTCACTTCCAAATTGTACCTAGACGGTGATGCCTCGGTGCCAAAAATCACTGTGATGCTAAGTTACCCATCGTTTACAGGCATTTTAACTGTCTACAGTGACGATCAGTCATGACTTTGGTAGCGTTTTGTCAAAACACTTGCCTTTTTTTGTTTTAACACCTAAAACTAAACAAGTCTAGCATGCGATGAACATCTTCATCTTTACGGAGCTGCAGTACATGCAAACAGGCTAAAATCATTCGAAAAAAATTGCGGCACTCCGCAAACTACCGTCAGTTGTTTTCTGTTTTACAATCTTAAACCAGCCGCAAATAATTAAGAACAAAAGAAATTTTTTCTTTGAACATTGTACAGCAGCAAAAGTATCTTTGCAGCAGTTCTCACGAAGATTCGCGCTAGCATTCACATGCTACTCTGCAGATTTGTTATAAATATATCCCACATGACTTCAAAAAAAATTTATTTCTCCATTTGTACAAAAGGTTGTAACAAGCGACACCTCACTGTATGTAAATTTGCTGCACTTTCCAATTTGCTAATCATTACAAATCAGAGCACCACCCTGGGATTCATTACCAGTTTTTGGAGCAGTTCCTGAGACACGGAGTAAAGTGTCCCATAGTGTTCCCATACTTCCGCTTATCTTCAAATGGACTGACAACTTTTGTGCCACTTCTGACACACAGGGTCTCAGTCATTAAAATATTCTGGCTTTCCACTGCAAATTATACCTCCATAACTGACTCTACGTTTCATCGAAAGGTGTAATTGAAATTTATGCTGTGTCGCATTCACTAGGAACACTCCACACAGGTTCCAGACCGCTTAATGTTGGGTCAGTGCATTTTCGTAACCTAAGTGCAGAGTAGTTTTCGTTTAGGCCTTTATCGTAATTTATTGCTTTTTTTAGTTATGAACAGTCACATACAAGCGTAATTCCTCGCATCTCTCAGTAAGCCGTGCACTCATGTTAGCACCCTTCGTTCATGAATCTCTCCTCCACACCTCTCTCATATTTTAACATTTGGGATTTCCATTTAATTGCCAATCCAAATACCATCACCCGCTGTAATCCCACGCATTTCCCCCGTGGAAAAGTCTTACACTTCCCACCTCTTTAACTTCTCCGTGTACTTCGCGCCTTTCGTGTGCACAAAGCTCTTTCTCAAATGCGCTTGAAATACCCGCATTTTCACTGGTTGTGTTGTTGTGCAAGCTTTCGCTCTTCTTGCATTTCATGCGCTGAAAGCAGGCGTTTCTATAATAATTATCCCTTGCGCATTCCATCGCGTTTACGAGACCACCCACGGTCTTCCTGCATAATAACATTCTAAAGGTACACCGTACCTCAGGGTTATTCAGATACCCTAATCTTTTTTTAAGATAAAACCTTGGAATATGGTCTAACAGACGAATGCTTCCGTAAGCAGGTATAGCTTAGATTTCGATAACAATTAACCCGATCGCTGCTTTCCCTGACACACTGCCATAATTTTACAACGTGGTCGTCAGCCAACAGAGACCATCAATTCACGCACTCCTGTGAAGTACCTTTCCCGCTTTCCACTTCACTCATCTGGCTGTTCAGATAATTGACAATTTTAAAATTTCACCCAAATAATGATTGATTAGCAACCACTTTAGCCAGTCACTACCTTTGACTTCACGTGCATGGAAAAGCAACTTGGTTGCGCCATTTAATAAACTGTTGTTTATAAAACCTCCGGTCTTAGTCGGTCCGGGAGTAAATGCAGCGTTGTTGAGCCAAATTCGACAGTGGTCCCGTGGTGGTTCACGGACACATGCCGGGATTAGCACGTTGGTAGGCACGATTTTACAATCAACCATCGTTGTTCATTTTGTCACTTTCCAAACATCTGTGCTATTGAAGTACGTTCCTCTTTGTCTTAAATTCAAAGCGATGCCTTTTGTGTGAAATTAAAACCTACCCTTGCCATGTCTTCGATCGCCGCCAGTTGGCCGTCTAGTTCTCGTCTTACCTGAGCTGCTTGCTCATCAGAATTGTCAAGCTAAACGAAAAGAACAGAGTAAAATTTTAGAAAATCAGAAAACGAGGGATGTCAATTTTTACTTTTGATAAGGATAAGAGTAAATTTATTATTTAGACAGATGTGTTAGTTCTTTTGTTTAAACCTTTAAAAAGGCTCAAGTTGAGCCTAGGGTATTAAAATTCTTGCATCTGATGTGGCCTGTTCATAGGACTGGATATCAGTAGCATCTGAATTATAGGTATTTGTTTAACTAATTCAATTTCGTACAGGGTAAAATGAAACTCGATTAAACCTGTTTGACTCTACAGTATGACATCAGCTTCAATAACGGAAAAACTAGTTAGTTTGATCTGTATTGAAATTGTTTCACATTGCCAGCATCATTGCCATCCTACTTACCATTGCGCATGCCTTGACAGATTCGAATTATCTAGTAAGCACAACTCATCCACGTTGTATTTATACTCTGCACTCATTTTAACCATTTTCATGTCCTTTTGTAGTTTAGATAAAGTGCCGTTTTGTGAACTGTCTTTTCTAGAGCATGTAATAAAATCTTTCAGCCTAAGACTTTATCAACCTCGGCCCAGTTGGTTGCAGGAACTCTTTTTCTTATAGCCATCGTCCAATCAACTTCCTTTCCACAACTTGGTTTGAGTTGCTTCAACGCGCTGACTTTCATTCATAGTTTTTTTTAATATTGGCCTTCGCCGCTAGAAATCTACTGGCTCCTGGTTAAACAACTGCCGCTTATAAAAATTATCTGGCGGCTTCCAACAAATAACTCTCGAAGGTCATTGAACAATTACGAAGTTGGATTAACCCTGAACACCACATCTCGTGAGACAGTTTATTCGGTTTGAGGGAAACCATATCTTTGAAGTTAAAAGCAGAATTACGCGAATTTAGGGGTTGCACTGAGCTTATATTATTCACCTTTTTAACATTGCATTAACATTAACATTGCATTGCATTAACATTATAATGACACCCATCGATCCAAAATTCTTAAAAGCAAACCACATTGTACGTTTCGATTCATTATGATGATAAATAAACCAATATAACCTAATTTATTTGAGCCTTGATGTAATAATTCCGAATTTCTGAGGAAATACTGCAGATGAAATCATCCAGGTCATAGCATTCAATTAACGTTATGAATTATTTTTCATACACAACCAATGTTAAAACCTAACTTTTAACTAATAAATACTATCGAACCGCTCAAATGATGACAAGGACGTGATATGACATTACATGATCCTTGCTAATGGGTCAGCTACACACTCATGGATAGTTATGCAGTTATATTGTCTGACTTTTCCCTACCATCTTTTCCATGTCACATGATCTAGAGCCTACTTGAAGCCTAGATTACGTTACATACTCACCACTCGCTCTGTGATCCAGAATTTAAGCGCTTTAGTCAATTCAGCAGGTGGTTCTAACCCACTATTCGGTATGAGTTTGCTTTAAAACCTCATCCAAGAGCACATCATCATGTGGACGGTGTGGTAATAGTGGCATTAGTATATAATTTATATGATAGATTTTTTTAAAATTTGAGTTTAAACTGAATGGCTACTTATTGGTGTCACCGCTATTTTCCTAAATTTACTTAGCTTATTACTGATATCTGTGTAGAATTTATTTCGTGTACTCTATTCCCCACTGTACACAGTAAACACGCATAAGTTTTTATTACAAAAAGTGAGTTGATCTTACAATTCTCCCTAAAAAATGAACAGTATTTCGCTGGACGAAAATGTACAGACATATCTCTTCGATATCAAAAAGAGCCTTTAGTAAATTTTAATCACACTTTGGTATTTCATTATACTTGATTTACATTTTAATCTTGTTGTCATACATTCAACTGTAATCTGATTCCGTCTACGAAATTACTAGGCCTTAATTCAGCTTGTATTTACACATTTAAGGCACAAGCATTAGGCCACAGATTAATTTGTGTTTTTTTGATGGCAGTTGGAAGGAGAACTGAGCAGTTGCTTTTTCGATCAAGCTGCGATGAATTTGCGGTTTAACATGGTATTAGGCAAATTCGTAACGTGTATGAAAAGCTGTCACTGGTGTTGACAGAAATTTCTATTGTCAGTTAGACGCACAAGTAATGTTAACGTAAAAAAAGTAGTAACTTAGTTCCGAGTCTATGGTCTGGCGAATATGAAGAGCTGCCGAATTTGATAACAACAAAATCCTAATCACACATATTGTTAATGACATTTATTTAAATCTTACTGCGAGGTTATGACCTTTTGTTTATAATGATTAAAGCAGATAATAGTCCAATATTGCGTCAACATTTAAAAGGCGCTTTTTAAACAAACTCGTGCATAAAACACGGGACATCAGAAAATGGGTTGTGATCTCTGGTTGTCAAAGAAAGCCTAGTTTGAGTACTAACCTGCAATGCGTTGAAGAGGATTTGATGTTCGTATTTCTTCACCCCAATGATGTTTTGGAACATGTCGTAGAGTTGTTCTTTAGACATGAATGCCTCTGGTTGGGGAACTTGGAGACGTTGAATAGCTGAAGAGGGTCCTGTTCCTCCACGGCAGATCTGGTCGAACTTGACCATCCACGCGCTGGAAATGTTGGATTTTTCTAGACCCTCGATGTCAGGGAGACATTGAATCCGGCACTCTATGTTTATTCGAAAAACTTCCCGGAAATCGTGCATTGAACAGCCCCCTCCTTTAACCATGGTCAAGATTCTATCACTGCATAGAAATATCTGCATGGCAGTGAGAACAAAAGAAGAAATAGTGTGAAACTTGTAAGGAGGTCAGCTTCTGCAATAAGCAAAATTGAAGTTAAGAAATGGTAACATAAAAGAGCCTTGACAACAGCGCTGTCTAGTTTGACGTCTAGAAATTGCAAATTACAGCCTGTGCTATTGCCATCAGCCCATTTATTAGGCCTACTGACGACACTTTCACAAGCCCTTTGATGGCCCTTCAAAGTGATAAAATGTTTATCAACCGTGATTTGTCTACTATCCCATTTCGACATTTCAGGTTATTAGTTAACTTAACTTACAGATGTTAAAGAAAAAAGACATATTCGGTACTAAGAGCAATTCTGGAGCGTTTGTGAGGCGAATACGATTGGTCTTTTGTGCAGTGGACTTCTTTTCCTTTTCCCTTTTTCTCGTATTTCTTGTGCTACATTGAACAAATGTGACATTTCATCTCTGCCTATACATTTTAATTCACAAGTAGAGGAGGAAACCAGAGTTTTCCTATAATTGCTAGACCAAAACCTCACTTGGCGCACTCCTCTGGAGCTAAAAAATGCTGAATTTTAAGTTTAGTGTACAGGCAAAGCCGCATAGTGGTGAGTGGCTTGGCATGCAACTGGAGCATTAATTTTAATGGACCGCAAGATTTTGGGATAATAAAAGGGAGCGTCGATTAAAAGTCTCTCGAATAGTTAACCTTAGGTGTGCACTTTGAAAAATGATACAACTGGTCGTAAACTATCCCCGAAAATGCCTCTCCAAGGGCAACCCACATATTTTTTGTTTTAAAAGTAACGGCAGACTTGGCTTGACTGCACCAGCAAAAAATCTGTTGTCAACCTTCCAGGTCAAGAATATTCTTTGAATGAAACAACCACAAAGCATTAAACTAAGATTTTAGCAACAGTAGGCGCAGAACTGGTGTCTCACATCATTGGTAACCAGACGCTACTAAGAAGGATTCCTAGTGCAGAAATAGCTAACTTTTATTATTTGTTTCCCAACACTCGATTATTTTTTCCTGATCACCCTTTGATGACTTGTTTAAGGCTTGCAAGTCGTTTGGTATGAGGTAGCAAAAGTATGACATTAATCAGTACATTTTATCTTTTTGACTCTATCAAAACCAGTTGTTATGACTGGGGAAGCTGAAGGCTATGAAAGTAGAAAAATCAACATCGCTTTTAGCTTCCGCAAATTTAGGCGTTGCCTGGACAAGACGTAAAATCAAGATTATTTCATTCAACTGCATAACCTATTATAACGGGGCATCACGCGCTTATAGAAAATTCAGAACAAAAGTCTAATCTTGCACACATTATACCCACTTTTATGTTAAAAACCATGGTTAGTTTATTTAACTAGAATAAAAATCGACCTTCGAATGACATTTAAATCGTTCTCATTGTTGTTTTTTTGATACTAAAGAAGCTATATAGAGTGTTGTTGCAAAGTGCACAGAAGTCCAACGAAACAGATGCACTTAGCGGACATTTGCGTGAGAGGAACTTTTAATGTGTTTGGACATCAAAAACTGTAATCTTTAAAGGACAAGTAAGCAATATTGAGGCACGTTTTAAGTTGGACCAAAACTCATTGTCCTTAAAGTGCGATCAATTCTTTCAAACTTTTTAAAGAACGGAGTCACGTTGGTTTAACTAAAAGCAATATTTTGAAAGGGTAAGATTCCATATTCTGGTCTCTAACACCAAACTATCCTTTCGTTTTAACAATTATTCGCTTCACCGTGGTAATCATGAGCGGGCAAGCTCGACAGCTACTTAATTTCATGACAAGTATAAAAAAGTAAGGAAATTCAAAAGGGCTCAAAACCAGAGTCATAAACACAGAGGGTAATTCTGTTCTGTAAGAAACAGCCAGACTATTTAAAATTATTGTATACATATTTCAATGACTAGCACCCGCGATCTGAGTTGCTTGACTGCAACTACCAGATGCTTTCATCCTGGAACCCTCATCACAGACCATCTTGATTCTGGATTACTGGGGCGGATTTCAGTGCCTTAGATTAAATTTTGCACTAACGTGAAATCAATATTGTGTATTGGGTTCAAGCCCACCCAGGTTATTCATCTAGTGAAATGCCGACACCCAGAAGCGCATAAAATTTATTCTTCTGCAAAGCTGCATCACTTTAGTGGTTGAAGGCATTCTGCGTCACATTATCTAGGTACCTAGGCTCCGTCGTGATTTCCTGACTAGTTTCAACAGATGGAGCAGTAACTAGGTGTTTGCCCAACGTATTTGATCTACTAAATCCTCCCCTAAGTATTTGAGCTTGGAGTTGAGATCAGGATCGCACTTAGATTAGCTCTTTATATTTCCGCTGATGCCGTTTTGATGTATAAAGAGCAATGCGACTCACCTCATAATAACTTTGAATTGCATTAGTGAACGCCTCGTCACCTACGATATCCAATTCCCCGTTGAGAAAGGACTGGAAACGTCCCTTGAGAGCATTGAGCTGGCTTTTCGTTACCTTTAGATATCGTTTCACTGGGTCTGTTGGGAACTTCGAGTAGAAGGGATAGGCAATACACCGTACTACATATACGTAACTAAACGGAAACAAAGCATAACCTTGTACGTTTTCTAGAAGTAGGATGAAAGGCGCAATAAAGAGTTATTGGGACCTCCGGACGTACTTTGAGGATGAATAATTGGCATTCAGTAAATGCTTCTAAGTGCATGTTGTCTTAATTATAAACATGAAAATTTGGCTTTCACAAGCCTGATTCCATGTAATTTGATTCACTTCATAAATTAAAGAGTTTGTATCTAATTCTTGTAGCTGCCTGAATAAACTGCTCTCACAAATTAGACTGACTTATTGAGATAATAACCGGAAATACACAAGACCTTCATCAATTCCGAGATAAATATACCAGAGGTTAACGGAAGTGAGAGTGTATAACGACTTCCGCCTCTAATTTTACTGGTTAAAATTTCTATTTCTCGAGAATTTCACATCGAAATCGCAGTTCCTAAACCTTTAGTGAAGCCCAAGCTTTGCACACTTAATAGTGCTAGCTATTATCCAAAAGCAAATGATTTTTCTGTCATCCATTAAAAACCGACCAGAAAAGTGGCATAGATATGGTTAAGGTCGATTGTGATATTTTTACCTAGCGATGGCAATCGTATCTAGAGATTTACCATTCATTTAATGCATCAGTGATTTCCTCGTAACTATAGAATTTCCACGATAAATTTCGGTACTGTTTATTCATATCATATCAAAGCATTTTCTTCCTTTACACCTAGCAGCTAACGTGTTTCTTAACACTTGAAATTTTGCAGCACTTTCAATGGATAATACGGAGGCAAAGAGATTGTTGCAATATTTGCTTAAACCTTTGACACAGTGAAACTGCACATTAAGCAAACATTCTCTCTGTTTTCCAGTAATGAAATTCGTTTCTTTTTACACTTGAGTATTCATTTGCAAAAAATCGTAAAAATGTTTACAATTCAAAAGTTTTTTTCCAGAATAATTTTGTGATTTTCTTATAACTTCGTTGTTTTTTCAATAAGATTTATTCCTGAGGTGTTCATAGACTTTGAAGCAAAGAATAGTCGACCCAACTAAAGGGTTTGTTTGGTTAAAGTAAGAAAATCTGGTGATGTAAATATTTGGTGTTTGAGATTTCCCGAGAAACTCTTGACCTGAATGCTTGTGATTAAACGACATGCTTGTTGGTCTTTATATCTTTAGGAATCTGTCCTTACAAAAAGCCACATCTGAGCAGCATGGACATTGACAGTTAAGCTCAACCTTTACAAAAGAAGGCCTTAGCAACTTGGCTTATGTGAGATGTTCAAAGCAACCCCAAGTGTGGCTATACCAGAAAAAATACAAGGTTTCTACGTAGAAGTATGTGCCGTGATAAAAAAACTCACAGTTCTAATCGTGTCTCACGGTCTTCTTCCTCCTTTTCTTTATCTGTTATTTCTTGATTGCTGGTCATTTCATTTGCGGTGGGAGAGGAGGTTCTGGCTTGCCCTGCACCTCCTTTTTCCCCACGATGTTGACCTTGAAGAGAGCAGGAGGTTGAAGAGGGACTGGGGCTGCCGCCTTTTCGACCTCTTGCAGCCTCTGGGAGACTAGCTGCGGAGGAAACGCTGAATGCTCTGAATTGTTGTTTGGAATGCGGATCGGCACTTGGCGAATTAACGACATTGAGGCTTGTAGAAGATGACGACACCTCAACTCCGACATCAGGCTCCGCGTCGAGTGTGAGCTGTTTCTGAATGGGAGTGCCACGAGTATCGGTTTTGGTTCTGGGGATTTAAAGAACTCTATTTGAGCTTAAGTCAAAATGTTCGGCATCTGAAAATGAAGAATGCGCCAAATTGGATGTAAACCACAGTCTGGACATGACCTTTTATAAGACCCGACATACGAGGATGCGATCATATCAAGTTTGATGTACTTAATTGAAGTTTTAGAGCCTGGGCGGGATCAGAAGTATTAATGCAGCCTTTACATTTATGATTCGATAATGATATTCATAATTTAAGTATTAGGGTCTTAATCGTAGACTGCTTATAGGGTCTTACTGTTAAGATGCTGCCATATTTAAAGTTGAATTTCACACTGGTTAGATCTGAGTGATAAGTTTGCACCCTAAATAACCAAACCCACTACTGCATTATGTTGGGCTTTGAAAATTATTGCGTAAAAGGAAATTTTGAAGGTGGTAAACTGTTATCTTGGTCGGTCATGGCATGTTTCTTTTCTGGCATAGTAAGTCATTGAAATGTTACCAAGTCACTTTGGGTCATAATTATTAACACAAAAACGTGGTTCTGACACGTTGTGCGCAGCGCCTTTATTTGGGGCACCTTCTTTCAAACAATTTACAAACACAGCTTATCACAGCTTAATATTAAGTTTTCACCACTTTTTGTGTACACCCATCAGTCAAAATTTATGACCAAATAAAGTTCGAAATGTTGGCAAAATCATATTTTATATCTATATATTTTCAGTGTCTTTAAATTGAAGGTTAACTAGGAGTGCAAAGTTGATTTCACCTTCTACTCCCTGGTGAACTTGTGAAACATATTAGCATGGTCACTTTTGAGATGATTTTTCAACCTTAGCAAATATTACTAATTAGCATCTAAAGGATGAAGTACCAAATTTGTACAAATTTGCCTTTGTATTTCAACAGAACTGGCATTACCTAAACAAAATGGTTTTGAATCTCATTATCACCATTTTTCTGCATGAATGAAGGTTTGCGCCACATTTGAGTTGACTGCTTTCAAATCAGTTTTCGCCACAATAGTGCAATAAAGCCCTTTAATAATCAGGTTCATGATTATATCGAGAATATAGCTTCAACGTATGCCAGACGTCTAGAATGCATTTTCAGATTTATCTGATCACAATGCGATGGTTCAGTGTTGGACCCAACTTAAATTCATGCTGAATCATGCGCTAAATTACTTCAACTTATTAATGTAGGTAAAACGAGAAGTTTCAGCATGTTTCGCCTGGAGGCAAATAATTTTCCATTGCATGCTGTTTAGTTTTATTCTACAGTAGGAAAAGGAAATGGTTTTTGAGACGATTTTAAGTTGCCGAGTTGGATGAGTTCTAGGAAGGTGAAGCAATCGCCACCCCAAAATGTCCTCGATTAAACGATGACCGACTCGGCAAGAAAGTAATGCGTAAACGTTGGAGGATTTAACCACATTCGACATCTCGGGTTAGCAGTCCGATAATGGGAAATCATTCTGGTCCGCACTAATGACACAATAATCTGCATTTTCGGCTTAATGCAACCGACGCGCAATAGATTTCAAATGAATTCAATTTTTTAGAAAAATTTTTTCAGCACGATTCTTGCCAATGCTAATTTAATGGGTTAGAGGATAAAAGATTGCGGTTAATAATTGTCTTCAGGTCGTTAAGTGAAGAGTTAAGTTGAAAAAGGTTCGTTCTGGTTCGTTCTGCCTCGGTCCCGGCTCCACTAAAATTTCATCCTTTTCTATATTTACCTTAATAGGTTAGAAGAGGTTACATTCAATGCTGACATTTGTTATAGTATAGGCTGCACCATGATATCAGTTGAAGCCAAGTTTTCCTTTATGAAATAGATAATTTAACCGCCTAGCTCAG